AAAAAAAACATTTTTACCTCGTTAAAATAAACAAAATCTAATCGGAAATGTACAGATTCATTCAAGGTCAGACAAACATTTAAGGGCTTCAAGGCAAGGCAAAAATGCTAATGTCCCCACCACCACCTATTTTCAATCCTTTGTGCCTTGTGTGTGCACCCTGCTGCTTCCAAGTTCATGTTCAAGTCCCGAGGTCAACAACAAACTAGTAATGGCCCCACATTCCCTGAATGTAAACTGGTTTGATAAACACAAAAAAAGCTCCAAGTCAGGTTTGATACAGATCCCCTGAAAGAAACGGAATAATTCACAGATCACATTAGTTGATATTGTGCTTTAATTTGATTTAAATTCCCACAACAGATTTGCAGGTCATCAAATAACTAAGACCCTTTTGTTTCTGACATACCTGTTAAGTAAACCTGTGATCTTTAGACCCCATCGAGGTCTCAAGGTCTGAGGCCCCTGATAGTTTCTCATCCGGTAATCTAGCCTCGGATTTATCTGATAAAAGTGAACAGAGGTCCCCTGTAGAGCTGGAGTCAAATCGTCTGACATATTATCTATTGGTCAACATTTTTCATCTGTGGGATTTTCTCAACTAAACTAAATAATATTCATAATCATACAAATATATAATAAACAAATATTTGAAAACAGCTTTTTATATCATCTTCAATTTGTGTTCTGTTTATTTTTATCTTGTATATATGTATGGATTCATATATATATATATACACTATATTGCCAAAAGTATTGGGTCACCTGCCTTGACTCGCATATGAAGTAACATCTCATTCTTAATCCATGGGGTTTAATATGACGTCGGTCCACCCTTTGCAGCAATAACAGCTTCAACTCTTCTGGGAAGGCTGTCTACAAGGATTAGGAGTGTCTTCATGGGAATTTTTGACCATTCTTCCAGAAGCGTATTTGTGAAATCACACACTGATGTTGGACAAGAAGGCCTGGCTCTCAGTCTCTGTTCTAATTCATCCCAAAGGTGTTCTATCGGGTTGCGGCCAGGACTCTGTGCAGGCCAGTCAAGTTCATCCTTGTTTTGTGCACTGGTGCATAGTCATGTTGGAACAGAAAGGGGCCATCCCCAAACTGAACACTCGGATATTGATACTTTTGGCAATATAGTGCACTATATACATTATATACACATTTGGATGGGTGAGTGAATACTTTTGACAACTTTGTGGGAACAGTTTGGGGATGGCCCCTTCCTGTTCCAACATGACTGTGCACCAGTGCACAAAACAAGGTCCATAGAGACATGGATGAGAGAGTTTGGTGTGGATGAACTTAACTTGACTGGCCTGCACAGAGTCCTGATCTCAACCTGATAGAACACCTTTGGGATGAATTAGAGTGGAGACTGAGAGCCAGGCCTTCTTGTCCAACATCAGTGTCTGACCTCACAAATACGCTTCTGGAAGAATGGTCAAAAATTCCCATGAAGACACTCCTAATCCTTGTAGACAGCCTTCCCAGAAGAGTTGAAGCTGTTATAGCTGCAAAGGGTGGACCGACGTCATATTAAACCCTATGGATTAAGAATGAGATGTCACTTAAGTTCATATGCGAGTTAAGGCAGGTGACCCAATACTTTTGGCTATATAGTGTATATATAGTTGTAAATACGATGTCTTGTACCTGCTTTGTCTCTGTGATGTGCATTTGTGTAATCAATTTAATTGCTGCTGTAGGACTACAGTTGAATTTTGGGGATGAATGCAGTAATCTATCCATTTAAATCTGTGTTACTGATGTTATCAGGTTGATTCAATCACAGGAGTTTGGCCCTTTAATCGTAGACCTACATGTTGAAAAAACTTAAATGTTGCATGTGTGTGTCTCTGTACAGCAGTGGCTGGTAAAGACTATGGATCTGAAAATGTCTTAGTATCTGGTCAACCTTCAAACTTGTGAATCTGTTTTCCAAACTGGACATCACACCTCGTCCAGGATTTCCACAAAATCACATATTTTACAGCTTGTTCTCGATACTGTCGCATTATAACAGGATTTGTCACTTTATTTATTTTACTTTTTTGATATCTCTGTTTTAAATTTCTAAACATATTAATTTTTTTATATTTTTATCCTATTTTACTGTCTGTTCTTAGCTACTTTACAGTCTTAATTCACTAGGCTTGCACACACAAAATGTCATTATATTTTTACAGTGACAATAAAGATTTGCTTTTGTTTAAAGACGCTCACTCAACTTGAATTTTTACATATTCCCCAACTTGTCATCAATCTATTCTCCCTCTCACTTATTTTGCCTTCTTCTTCATCCACCTTCCATAAAATGTAAAACAAAAAATCTCCCAAATATTGCAGGGTGAGAACAGATACGTACACTTGTTTTCCAAGAGGAAAGGAGCAACAGTTTTCTATGATCTCAGTATCATGAGGTATTTCAAAGTTTGCATTGGCGCTCAGCCTGTTTTTCAAGATAGCAGCAGCAATTTTCAAAGAATTTTATGTCCTTATTTCATGGTGTTTTAAATGATTTGCTTCAGCTTCTCCTCCCTGTCTTACGCCTGTTAGATCAGAACATATTTTATATTAATGCCAAGTTTTTTTATTTTAGAAAATATATAACCTGTGTGAATCAGCTCAGGTCTTACAAATGAAATTATCTAGATTATTTATAGCTGCTGTGTTGATCCATCTTTCTTCAGTTATAATATTTGTTGTGTTTCTAAACAGACTCTGGATGAAGAGCTTGTGAAAAGACGAATCATACTGGACTCAGTGAAAATCTCATTTACAACCATTCAGACAATGTGATGTGATGTTTTTCTGGGGTCATGCTTTCTGTTTTTCACCATGATATGATTTCATGTTTTCACTCGTCTCCAGCAACTGGAAGGGAAAAACCTTTGAAGCTGTGAGCACCATTTAACTCGGCTTAACAGAGCAGCAAACATATTGATTATATACTTGACTTGCTTCCATTTCTGCGTTAATAAATGCTCAGGGTTCATCCTATAATTTTGAGTCCAATACTCTCAGGACAGGCCACCTGCATCACTATGTTATTTATGTCTCTGTGGGAAGACGAGATTTGGGGGATGAGTCATGTCTGTGTCGTATTTACATGTGAAAGACAGGAGGTGGGGGGGGCATCATGGGTGAGTGGAGGCCACTCACGTGAGGAGGTGGTCTTACTGAACAAGGGGTACAAGAGGGGTTTGCTGGGATCTTAGACTTTCCTCAACTACAATCCAACGCCTTTTCTTAATCTCTGACTAATCTTCTGGACTAAAATAAGTCACACTTGATTTTCTTTTCAACAAAGGAATGTTGCCCTGTACTGGTGAGTTTTCAACCAACAGAGCGGCTCCTGCTCTAAAGGTTAGAAAACGTGATCTTTGTCCTTCCTGTCAGTTCTCTGCATCATTACTCCTCCTCCATCCTGCTCTCCTGACATAATGAATCCTCTTCTCCCACTTATACTGTCATCTCTGTCTTGTAAATGTTTTTTGTACTCTATGGTGTAGAAACTATCTCATGCAAGTTTCAGATGCATGATAGAAAAAGCTTTCCAATCTAAAAAAATAGACATAAACCAAACACTGAATTAAATGAATCAGGGAATATTTGGCAAAAAGGTCCAAAAAGATATAAGATATTGAATGTGACCCTTTGACAAGTCTCTTTTCTCTATTTCTGACAAGAAGACAGCCTGTCAGCTCTTTCACAGAGAAAAGGCCTGTTTCAATGTCATGGATTCTAAAGGTCCCATTTCCTCCTTACAGTGGCATATGACTGATGTTCACTTCAATGCAGCCGACCCTGCATGGCACTATGGAGTAAGTAGATGGAAAGATAAGGCAACCATTTACAAAGACTTGGGCAAAAAGCTGTGGGGCCGTGAGTGTCCTTCACACATCTGATAGACGTCCTTCACATGTCCAACATCTCTTCTGCCTGAAATTACTTTATCAAACATATATTATAGAACAGATTATATTCCATATACAACTAGAATGGGCAACAGCCCCTTTATGAAACTAGATTCATATTTTTTATATGGATTTGCTGCACATCATCTTTTTTTAATCAAGACCCATAAATTATTCTCTGAGAAATCACGGAAAATTTGGGAAAACACCTCTCATCAACGATCTCTTCTCTGACTCATCCTTCAAACACGTTTCGTTGTGATCATTCCAGCAGTTTTTGCGTAGCCCTAGTAACTATCAGATGCAGATGAAAACATAACTTCCTTGGCATCAGAGGCTTTTTAGGGTTCAATGTCTGGAGCTGGGGATGGAAGCAGCTGTTTAGTGGAAGATCCACTGAGCTGCAGTCATCCTTCTGTTAAAGGTTCAGTGTGTAGAATTTAGTGACATCTAGCGGCGAATTCGCATGTTGCAGCTGAATACCCCTCACCTCACCCTCCCCTTCCATACATAAAAAAAAGAACCTATGGTAGACTTCAGTTGTCTAAAACTCTAAACTCTAAAACTCAGACAGTGTTTAGTTTGTCAAGTCTGGGCTACTATAAAAACATGGCGACCTGTGTAGAGAGAACCTGCTCCAGAAGTAAATATAAAGTATTTAAATATAAAGGGCCCATTCTATGGTGAAGAAAACAATAACAATTTAGATGGAACACACTAGTGAAAACATTACTATATTGTTTTATATTCCATTTCTGCAAATAGATCATTTTTAGCTACATTTCACGCACTGAGCCTTTATTTATGCACTAAAACCTTAACCTGATCTGATTAATTTACAAAAGCACACTTCCATCATTTAACACATTTCAATGGGACATGTTTTCTAAATTATTCAGTTGACTCTTCATCTGACACAAACCAGCAGTGTGTTGTATTCTCCCATGACTGTAGCAGCAGCAGGGTTTTCTGTTACAGCAGAGAAGCAGTGAGCAGAGGAGTCGTGTTGGAGGTCGCTCTCACTGGCTGAAACACGCATCTCTCAGCTGCTTCTAATCAGGCCTGATTCTTTAAAGCCTGCACTCACTTTATGAACGTCACTCACTACATTTCAGTTTGGCTGCTCGTGCAGCCAAAGTGAATTTTGTGCTGTTTAACCAGACTCTCTCTAGCATGAGGTTATGTGAGTAGCCATGTCAGAAATTAAAACATGGGCATTCTGGAGGGCCTTCCTCGCAGAGGCTCTGGGAATGACCATCTTCGTCTTCATCGGCCTCTCGGCTGCGATAGGGGACAGGAATAATACGTACCCTGACCAGGAGCTAAAAGTGGCATTTGCTTTTGGCCTTGCCATTGCTACATTAGCCCAGTGTATAGGTCACATTAGCGGTGCCCACCTGAATCCTGCCATCACCCTGGGCCTCCTGGTCAGCTGTCAGATGAGTATCCTCAGGGCCCTGTTCTACATAATAGCTCAGGTTTTGGGAGCGGTGGCCGGCAGTGCCATTGTGTACGGTATCAGGCCAGAAGCCACAGATTCCCTCGGTGTTAACAAGGTGAGGAGGAACCTTGTGTGCTCGCAGTTTTTCCTGTGTAACGCTCCTGTGACATTTGGATCTTCACTTGAGTGGCATTTGGGGAATTGCCTGCATCCTAATCTAGATTGTCTGTGAAAGCCAGACACTCATGACCTGAAGTTTTCTCTTCTTGTCTCGAAGACTTCCTCATTTGCAAACTGCAAGTGACAGGTTGTTCAATTGCAATGTCAGATTTTAATTATCAATGATTTGTAGCTGTCATGCAACAAAGGCAAAGTCCCTCTCTCTTCAAGGACTGTTTATAATCCTTATCAGTGATTTACATTCTGTTTTATTGTGTGTAATTAGCAACAGTTTTACGTTTTTAAGTCATTTTTCATAATGCTAGAGTTTCATAAATGGAAGCAAAATAATCTCAATTGTTTACTTGTGGACAACAGAGGCGCGTGAACAGTGGTGTGTTTCCTCTTTGCAGCTAAATGGGGTCACCCCAAGTCAAGGTTTTGCCATTGAATTCCTGCTCACGCTCCAGCTCGTCCTGTGCGTGCTCGCAGTCACCGACAAAAGACGCAACGTAGGTGGGTTTGCACCTCTGTCCATCGGGCTCTCCGTGGGGCTGGGACACCTCGCTGGGGTGAGTGCATGAAAACGTTCCCCTTCCTCATTCATTTGTTAGATGGGTTTCTCCGTCTTCCTGTGGCCTGATACAATAGATGTGCGTAGGAAGAACTGGCTGTAAATCAGGCTCGTGTGTAATCTGCTGATGTACAGCCAGAGAGGCAAGCAGTGTTTTCCTCTGATATGGGTTTACAGGTCCGCTACACAGGATGCGGCATCAATCCAGCTCGATCCTTTGGGCCTTCGCTTATACTGAAGTCTTTTGATGATCATTGGGTACGTGAAGCTGGAAATCAAATATTTAGTAAGTGGTTTGTTTTCAGGAGTTATTGAAACAGGGTCGCGCTTGTCCTGCTCTTCTTTTCTCAGGTATTCTGGTTGGGACCGATGAGTGCTGGTGTGGTGGCAGCTCTTCTGTACAATTATCTCCTGACCACCAGGGACGAGCCCTTCAGTGAAAAAACAAGAGCCCTGTTCTGCAGCGGCTCCTCAGGGGACAATGACACTCAGGAGCCGCTTCTGGAGAACTTTGAGGATGTGAAAAGGTCAAAGAGGCCAGCAGAAGTCTGAAATGGACTTTATTGTTGTGTACTGCTTATTTGTGTCAGATAAAATATATTTTTTCTTGTGCATCTTTTTCTTGGTTCATCTCTTCTCTCCTCCCCCCTCTGCACACAAACCCCTCCACTATAAATACTGAAGTAGGTGACATGTTGGGGTTTCTCACAGCAGACGTGTTAGGAGCAGACATGAGGGAAATAAGAACCTTGTTGTTCTGGCGGGCCGTGGCTGCAGAGTTTCTCGGTATGTTGCTGTTCATATTCGTCGGCTTGTCGGCCATCATCGGGAAGGGCGAGAGCGGCTTTCGCGAGGAGAATGTTGCTCAGGAGCTGAAGGTCTCGCTGGCCTTCGCCCTGGCCATCACCACCCTGGTTCAGAGTTTGGGGCACGTCAGTGGAGCTCACCTGAACCCTGCAGTCACGCTGGGCCTGCTGGCCAGCTGCCAGATCAGCGCCCTCAGGTGTGTGTTCTACATCCTGGCACAGATGCTCGGGGCAGTTGCAGCGAGCGCAATAGTGAATGGATACAGACATAAAGATTCTCTTGGGGTTAACCAGGTAAAGACTTTAATTTGTAAACCAATGCAATCATTGTGATTGAGTCCAACTTTTAGCCTTCAGCTGCAGTTAACTGTCTTTTTCAGCTAAATAATGTGACTGCAGGACAAGGCTTTGCCATCGAGTTCCTCGCCACCCTTCAGCTGGTGCTGTGTGTGATCGCTGTGACTGATAAGCGACAGAGTCATGCCAAAGGCTTTGCACCGCTGGCTATCGGGCTGTCAGTGGGGCTCGGTCACTTTGCAGCTGTAAGTGAGGCACACTCCTGTAATTCTGTTAAATCTGTAAAATTTTTGTTGCAGCAATTTTGACAAACAGCAGATTAATCCTGAAGTGTCTAATTTCAAGAACCATATAGCAGAGGGCTCATGAGAATACAATTTTGACTTTTTTTTGTTTTCTAGAAAACCCTTTTCAATGTTGTAAAAAAACATTTCCCCTTCAGTCTAAATATTAAGGACACTGTTTTCCTGTGTTTAGAGAGTGTGTTGGTGTTAATGATTCAAGGTCCTTTTCTCCCCCCCCTCACTGCTACATTACATCATTTGGCTGTGTGTGAGTGCATGTAGCTGATGTGCCAGCAGTTCATTGAGCAAGTACAACAAATCTCAATTGCAACGGCAGCTACACCAGTTTCATAAAGTTAAATGTGAATTAGCAGCGTCAACTTTGATAAATGTCTGGCAGCTGCTCTCCTAGCAAAATATGAAAAGTTGCAATGAGTTACTGTGTCGATCACTGGTGCCAAAACTGAATTAAATAAAGGTCATGATAGAGGACTGTATTTTAAGGAGTGACTGTATTTTCTGTATTTATTTTTCCACTGTCACTTACTTTGTTAAAAAAAATTCTTTACAGATAAGTTTCACTGGATGTGGCATCAATCCTGCTCGCTCCTTTGGCCCGGCTGTAATTCGTAGTCAAATGAAAGACCACTGGGTAATGTCAGCAAACACTTGAAAAGCATTTTGTGTTGTTTTTTTTGTCAAAAGACAAATATAACTTCCTTTATTCCAGGTTTACTGGCTGGGCCCGATGAGCGGAGGAATGGCAGCTTCTCTCATCTACGATTTCCTCCTGTTCCCACGAACACCAAACTTGAGAACTCGCACATACGTCCTGCTTCACGGTGCGCAAGATGAAAACGCTGCCATTGAAACAACTGGGGAGGACAACGGCAGCCCGGGGCCGAGTCAGTGGCCGAAACAATAAAGAGCATGAAACATTTTAACTTTTCTGGCTGTCAGCACATTAATAAACAACAAAGATGCTTTTTAAAATTACAGCTGGTTTCATTTTTAATTGTGCAATGTGTTTTTTTTTTATGTCAGTGCATTTCATATAATAAAGCTCCATCCTTTTCATCCGATGTCTGTGTTTTCTTATGAAACTATTTCCCAAATGGTGAAGGTCAAATCAAAGTTGACATATTCCTAGTTTATATTGCACAAATACCAGAAAATGTTTAGAGCTGAATGACCTTGACATTAGTTTCTTTTAAACCTACTGTGTACAGTATCATTCTATTCAATGTGTTTGGCACCGGTCCCAAACATCTCGACTGTAAAACAACACAAGGATGTGGATCAGCTAATTACGCAAGAACCTTTAGATTCTCTTTGAGAAAAAGCATGATTAGACAAGATGAGGCCATCATGGAGATTTCCTGTTTGGCTGTATCACAAGAATGTCTTTCCAATCTACGCACACGGCCCGTCTCACATCCCATTTTATGGGTTATGAGCAATTGACGGTCCCCTAACCCTGGGCTAATCATTGAATAACCATCAAATGACTTCAAACCCGACAACCCAACAGAGAGGCTACAGGTCCGAGGGCAATCCAGCCAAGGTTGTGAAAGTATACTTGCAAGGTATTGTGAGCTAATCAGAGGCTGCATGGCCGCTGCGGTTGGATGCACAACCCCTGGTTGTGCATTGCCGTTATTCTCCTCGGCGTGAGATGATCATTAACAAAATGTCAGAGTCCCAAATAATTTTACGATGTCCTGTGAAGGAGGAAGTAAAGGTGTATCTTTATATTGTCCAACTTCCACTCGCTGCCAAACAGCTGAAGGCAGGTGAAATCCATAAAGGAAAATCACTCTGATTTACTGAAGCACAACACTAGAGTCAATGGTAAATAGTTTGTATGTGTTTAGCACTTTTCTAGTCATGCTGACCACTCAAAGTGCTTTACAGGTTATTGCCACTCACCCATTTACACACACATTCATACAGTGCATCTGCAGAACTTTTTCTATCAGGGGTAATTTAGGGTTCAGTGTCTTGCCTAAGGGCACTTCGGCATAGCAGATTTGGAAGACTGGGATCAAACAGCTGTTCCATTATGAAACCACATCTAATTCAATACATCTGGATTTTGGGGGGATTTGCACTAAAATGCTCACACTGATAAATATCAGTTCCCTAAACATGTGAAGCTCCACAAAGTATTCGCTGAGAAATCAACAACACTGTTGAAAAGTGCCTCACCCAGAGTAAATTATATTCCATGTGTATGAATTGTTCTCAGTCGAGCTCACACCACCACCAAGGCCCAACAGTCAACCTCAATTAGATAACGCTGCACCAGCTGGCACGCACGCACACGATTTCTGCTTTCATCAAGATCCATGAATTATTATCCGAGAAATCAATGAAAATGTTGAAACACGCCCTATCTCACAATGTCAAAGAAAGTGAAAAAAACAATCCTGGATCCGCCCCGTGATCTGGATCCGGACCCAAATGTAATGGGTTCCACTTTGGGTCATGCCCCACCCCTCCACAAAGTGTCATGGAAATTGTTTATGCTGACAAACAACGCAGATGAAAACACAAGCTCATTGGCAGAGGTAATAAATCCAACAGACTGAGATGGTGATGGCGTGAGCAAAGGGAAGCTGCTGTATAAACCTAGAGCCTGAAATAAATCAACAAGTTATTTCTTTAATTGCAAATGGCTGACTCCGATTCTTCTACACTCAGTCTATACGTCTTTCTCTAAGTCCCTTGAAAGTTTTGCTCTGGTGTATGTTACCACAGCTCTGTTAGTGTTCTTCGTCATGAACCTGCTCAGGTGCACGTGTAAATGTATCCATGAATTATAGCTGATGGGACTATCTCACTTATACGAATCAACATTTCTTCACATTATTTTTTTTTATGGTGGAATCTCAGAGGCCGGTCCAAAAATCTCCCTCCTTTGTGTGTTTAACCTCTGAGGGCAGAGCATTGTGTTTCGCCTCTTGTTTTGAAGTTTGTCCTCGACAACACAGACAATGCTCTTTTTGTTGCCCCTCACTCATTTTGTCTGCGAGTGTCCTCCGTCAAATTATTTGGCTCTCGTGTTGAGGCTTGATTATTCCATGATTTGGCACCGGGGCGTTGTGCTCTCATTATATTTATTCAGACAGAATAAACAGCTGAGGTCCAACTATTTTAAGTGATTTTGGAGTTCACATATAATATTCATCTCGATAAAATCTTCTATTCATTAGACTTCTGAAGAGTCAGGTTCTGTCATTAAAAAAACAGAGTCACTTAGTTTGACTTTAGAAATTATAGGAACACAATGAGAAATGAAAAAATATTTTTACTGTGATGGACAGTAAAAATCACAAATGACTTGATCCTGACAAATATTGTCAAAGCCTGATAAATAAAAAATAAAGCAAGATTATCAAAACATGTGACAGATTAAGTACAGTAGCACCATGAAATTATTCAAAAATAAAACTAGAGGCCTGTTCTTGCAGGTTTATGTAATTAGTAGGAATAAATTGGGTCACACTCCCAGTTTCATTGTAAGAAGCAAAGCATGTGAGGAACATCTACAACTGAAAGACTGATTGCATTTAACCGTAATCTTAACGCCACTGCTGGCCCTCTTCACCCCGTCTGCACATACTGACTGATACTGGGGGCTCCTATCTGCAACCGGAGAGCGACCCACCACGCTCACTCCCTATCTGCTTTTCGTCAGTTTTTGGCAAATGTTCAGCGAGGGCCGTGTCAGAAGAGGGAAGCTGCGGGGAGGCACAGTTAGATATCTGGTTGAAAAGTGCGTATGAGAAACGAGGTGCCAGTCAAAACTGCAGAGTAAAACATTTCTCGCTTCCCCTTTTTACGACCGCAGAAATCACACAGACGTGATGAAAATGAGACCTCAGCTCTTTTTAAGTGACAGCACTGGCCTATATTTTCACAGGTTTAATGTTTTTCTCCAAACATCAGCACCACACCTATAGGTTCAGTTAACAGCCATCATAAGGGCACGGCTGTAAACACTCGTCACAGGGTTCAGAGGCTGAAGGATCCCACTGCTGCAAACTACTTCAGAGGTCCTGACCCGTGAAACTGCCTCTAAACATGGATCATACCGGGCCAAAGTGTTCACATTGGTTCTGTCAAATGTAAACCAAAGGGTCATCACCAAAATCCACAACAACTAAATTAACCCTATAAATACTATCCATGTTTTTAAAGGTTTGTTTACATAAGTAATGTTTGGAAATAGATCATTGGAACAGGGTCATATTTTCATAATTGCCCACTAAATGATAATTAAATCAATCACATATGTGCACAGACCTTGAACCCATGTCAAAAAATAATTCACCGCTTGGACCTTTAATGATTGATGTCACATTGTTACGCCTCATTGGTTTTTATGGGCTGTGTGACATTGTTGAACAGTAGATCCCATCTATGAATTCAGCCGTGCAGCTCAGTGGTTGTACACTGGTTGCATCATAAGCACGAAGGACACACGTAGTCAAACACGATCGGACCAATAATTCTGAAGTAAAAGAAATATTCTCTACGATTGTAAAAATAATTTAAAACAAATCCATCAAATGAGTAAGAGGAGTAAGACAGACGGACTTCTTGTCATGTACATATTCAGAAATTGTATTTTCATACAATTTGAAATGCTACAGGGTTTAATACCAGGTGGATTTCTGGTTTATCCTGCCATGGTACAGAACACACACAAACACACACACACACACACACACACACACACACACACACACACATACATTAACACAAACACACACACGCACATACATTAACACACACAGACACACACACACGCATGTGTCTTTTCACTATAGTGGGCAAACACTGTGCAACACTGACGCCCTCTGGTCTACACTAGATTGAGGCCTGTTAGTTCACAGTCACTTTAATGGTCTCATCTGCAGTTATATCATCAACAAACATCATTACATACAAAACATTCTTTTTTTTAATGAATCTTGTTGAAATGTTGAGGAGCAGATTCAACTGTAACACACAGCATTTAAAGTCATTGTTCATCTCCTGTTTGTGTGAATCATGTCTTTTTTGCACAGGGAGCTATTTTACTTTTAAACCTTTTGGTTTTTGAAGGACATTATTTCACTTTTTTGCTCCAGAGTATCTTAAGAACTAAGTTTTTCAAGGATTCAAGGAGTTTTTATTGTCATAACCGCCACATGTACAACATACAGTGAAAACGAAATTTGCATCAACAGGCTAAATGGTGCGAGAACTGTGTTTGTATAAAACTTTTTCTGAAGAAACATTTTATAAGCTTCTGTTTTGTTTGTTTTTTATAACACATCCACGTTCACACAGTTTCTCAATGATTCAGTCTCTTGAATGTCCCTGAATGCACCTAAACGCAGCTCATTTCTCCTGACTGCTACTGAACGCACCCGTCCCAACCTGGAAGCAGTTCAGTGGCACTTCCGGTTTTAAATGTGCAAAGATGTCGACGTCTTTATTCAATTTTGTCGAAGCCAGAGACAAGTTTACGGTGAGAAACGGCGGAATTGTCATTGTTGTTATTTGGACATTGAAGTCGGTGATTTTAATCACAGCGGGAAGACAAACACGTCGCCGCAGCTTCATGCTAGCTCCTGCTGTTATTAGCAGATGCTAAGCTAAGCTTTAGCCTCGCTCTTTAACAATGAATTTTCCGTTTTAAACATGTTTCTTCTTCTTCTTCTTTCTTTCTCTCTCTCTTTCTCTCTCTCTCTCTCCTTCAGGCCTCGGCCGGATTTGCTCTGACTGGTAAAACCAGCAAACCTCTGATAAACGCGTTCAACCAGATCCCCGGCAAGTAAGTGACATGTAGTTAGCATCTGTGTCAACATCTGTGTTAACGTGTGATGGAAACAGTTCTCTGACTTCATGGATTTAGTGTTAAAGTCTGTTTGTGTCTCTCTTGTTTCAGTGAAGCGGAAAAGAAAACCACCCTGGACCAGGCTCTGAGGGGGGTTCTGGGTGATCAGATTGTAAGTACATCAGTGTTTGTTTACCTCAGTAAACCTGGTTGAGTCGATCTGGCTCCCTGTGGAACATTA